TGTGAATGTTTATTCAAATAAATTTAATCTCCAGCGATTCAAATCCAAGGTGAATAGCTACCGCTCCTAGAGCGCCTTAAAGACTTTCCTGTAGTGCTTGTGGTTTATTCTAAAAAAAATTCCATAGTTGTTACTTCAATTAAAATGTATTAGCAGATATATCTTCAATTTTTTTTTCTCAATTTTTTCCGAGTCTCATTTCCAGTTTTTTTGTTCGAACAACACGACTAACCCAGGCTGAACCACATTCGATTAGTAAACAACACGAATATTTCTCCAGCAGAATTTCCAGGCCTATTTGTAACAACATATAATTTGTTGAGATGCGAATCGTGGTCAGAATAAATAATAAAGTCTACTCCCGTGTAGATGAGTGAGTTGTTCCCATTGAATAATTCATAAAGAGAAAATAGCTCCAAGTTATTTCAGTAAAGTTCACACTGGCTCAGAAGCCGCACTATTACATTTACTAGAACATTCGCCGGTTTATACGATCGTAAATTGCGTGTTTTAGATTTTAATCTGGTAATACGCGAAAAAACACCGCGTGTGCTTCTATTACGGCAGAAGGGGCTCAATAAATAGTGAGAACTGTCTCCTAAATGGAATTAGCCACCACAAAATTACCAAGTTGATGGTTTATTTACGTCTCACTCGCTGTAAATGGTTCATGAGGGATAAGAAAGTTATTCATATATAAGTGCAAGGCGCATATTAATCTGAGCAAGAACGTATGTGGACGTGTCATCGAGGCGTGGCAAACTGCATTCTATAATAATAATAATGATGAGACGATCTTTGTCGTGAAGTTTTCAGCTCCTGGCGAGACAAATATCGTCTGGAAAGAGGAGGAAAAACGAATAAAAGATCGAGATTTTCTCTTCGAACTCCATAGACTCTATCCAGATCACTCTGTCGAGATGGTTGCTCTGATTATTAGAGTCCTTGGTGGAATGATGCCCTGTCTACTCTCGAATTTCAAAATCATACCGGCCTGCCGCACTAAGACAGGAATCAAAATCAAAAAATCTAAGTAATTTATTCGCACCTGCTACATAGCAGCAGGATAGATGTACACGTCAAATACTGTTACATTGAACAAAATATAATGAAATGTCACAAACACTAATAGTACTAAAGACAAACATGTGTAACTTTCAGACAACAAGTAAATCAAAAATCGTCATTCAGGAATTCACTGATGGAGTAATAGGCTTTTGCACACATAAATGTTTTAAATTCTTTTTTAAATTTTTTATGCTTCAGTTTATTAAATATCCTTATACCTTCGTAATCTGGACATCTTTCAAATGCCTTCAAATTATGCTTTGTAAGCGACAGTGCATCCGTTATCATCCGCAAAGCTAACGATCTTTCCGTTTCTCTCCAATTGAAAAATATTGTTCAGATATATCAAGAACAATACAGGCCCTAATACCGTGCCTTGGGGTACACCACATGTGATTTCTTGTTTTTCACTTTCAGTATCTTGTATTCGTACTTTCTGTTTTCTGTTCTTCAAATAACTTCTGAAAAACGAATGTGCTGTACCCCTTATCCCCAAATCTTCAAGTGTGTTCAGAAGAATGGAATGATTCACGAATACAGGGAAATGTTAGAATACTGTACTTTGAAAAAGCGGCTTTACAACTGTTGAAATGATAACGGATAATTCACTTTCGACATATGAACGCTCTTCCAGAATTTACACAATCTTCCATAAAATAACATTATATGCCAAATGAGAGTAAATCAGTTCATAGTGAGTATCAATAAGAGCCATCTGATTCACCGTATACTTCAGTTTCGAAATTGCAGTTTCGATACATACGGTATTATTCAAGTTCGAGATGAGATTATTCATTACACCAATTATCAAATGAATATATAATGTGTGTAATAGCATTTTGAGTGCCTCTGGTGTCTGCGCTGTAACCACTACTGAGGAATCGTCTGCAAACATCGTGACAGATCCTGTTGATAAGATCTCATGCATATCGTTTATAAATATGATGAACATTAGTGGCCCCAGTACAGACCCCTGAGGCACCCCAATATCATTCGTCATATACTCAGAACAACAGTTTTTCAACTTAAGCATAGGATTTTCTATTAACTAAGTATGACTGCATAAGTTCAAGCATATTTCCTCCAATTACAATACTACTGGAGTTTTATCTTAACACCAAACCGTTATTTTTAACACCTCAACATGTGTTTCGATCACCAAGTGATCATCTTCGAAAGGAAGTTTAATCTCCAATAGAAAATTTAAGCTTCCTCTTGAAGATGATCACTGGGTGATTGAAACACTTGTCGAAGTGTTAAAAATAACGATTAGTTGTTGGGATAAAACTTCAGTAATATTCATTTAAAGAACAGTTGACATCGTCATGAATTTTTCGATGAAGAATGTCAAAAATAGGTATTTTCATGAATGTGCAAATTTTGATTCAATTCCGCAGAGAAGTGCTTCTACGTGAGAATCTTTTGCTATTATACTCATCTCAAGGGACCTCTTCAGCTTCCATTTTCTCAAGTTTGTCGACTAGAACATAAAACTTTAGTGGGTTTCCGCATTAAATATTCCCAAAGCCACTCGTCACGAGTGTAACGAACTATGTCTGGTAAACTCCGACAGAATTTGTTGGAGGTTCGTGACCCCGCTTTTATTTTTTTCGATAAATACTTACTTCATATCGGTGGATATTCTAAAAAATTGCGCACCAATTTATGATAATCCGATATATTGACACTCTTACGTGTAGATTGAAATGTAATTCCATCATATCTCAGTTTAGTATTGTATATTAATTTCACGTTATTAACTGTCTTCATTCCATATATCATATTTCTCCAGCCTCCTTTTATTTCAGTAACACTTTGTCAGATTTTCACTGAACAGTTTATAAATCTGCAATACGATGGCGTCTTCAGGCTTCAGGTTCACTGAAAGTCTCACAAAGAAATGTTACTTGGATACGTTATCGATTTTCATCAAGTATCTGCAAATTCCACCACATACTCAATTTTACCGTTGATTTTATTGTGTAATGAATTCTTTATTTTGAAAAATATTTACTTATTTATTTTTGCTTTAGCAGCTTTCAATAGTTTGTATGCCCCTTCAGTTAAATTTTCATTCATGAAAATGGGTGAACCCTTTAAATTCGTTTTGGCCTTGAATATTTCTCTCTTTTTCAATAGGGACACAAAAGTAACAATGACTGTCCGAAGAGATGTTCATGCTTCTTTGGGTTTACCAATTCTCTGTATATTATAGATTTTCCACTGAGAGCATTTGATTTTCATATGGACTATTCAAAAAATGAGGTGGCTACGTAAGTTTGATTAGCAATTTTTTTATTTTTCCATGTTGGCACACTTGTTACCACCATATGTCCACAGTTTCAGCTGTTCAGCATGTTTAGTTCGTTGGTGAGAGGCATAAAAGTTAGAATGGTTCTGCGTATTCGTCGATTTTCCGCTATCGAAAAAATTAATCAAAAAATTTGCATTAAATTTCGTGAAAAAATGGAATTGAGTGCTGTTATGCTATTATCACAGATTTAAATAGCGACAAGAAATGGATTCGTCGAAACTCAGTCAGATAATTCAAAGATAACGACATATTTCTTATGAGCCTTAGATGCGTCTTTGAAAGGTTATCAGGAAACTTAACAGTCAAATCCACAACCACAAAAAAAACATGGAAACCGTTCAATTACCATCATGTAAAGATATTTTTGTCGAGTACATTCTTCGTGGGACCAGTGACGATATTCAGTGCACTGCACCCATTTCTCTCTAGGGCGACTACTGCCATACGGTTCCAGTCAAACTAGACAGTAAGTTTCTTCTTCGTCGCTTTCACTCTGTTCCTGATTGTTTTGACGTTGTTTGGTTTTCTTGAGCTGGCGAACTGCCTTCGGCAGTTTTCTCTTAACTTTTCTTTTTTTTGCGTTATGCTCCTCTTGAATCGCATTTTTTTCAGGAGTGTCCGTATAGATAGCAGATTTCCCAATTTTTCGTTTATAACATGTTTTCCTAGGCGGAGCTTTCGGCAACGGTCTAACGATTTCTGGCAAGAATACGGCCTTTGAAGTGCTTGGTTCTGCATCAGCACGTGAAAATACAGATTTTGAGCTGCTTGGTTCTGCGTCAGCTTGCGAAAATATGAGTTTTGAGATGCTTGGTGATGCTGGCGGAGTGCGATGAGTGCTTGGAGATGTTGATGGAGTGCAATGAGTACTTGGCGATGCTGGAGAAGTGTGATGAGTGCCTGGTGATGCTGGTCTATCCGTGACATACGAGGGAGCAAAATCTACTTTCGTGAATATATCTCTATTGAAGGAACATATGCCAGTGCTAAGAAATCCAGCTACGATATTTGACTGTGTGAGGGCTAATGGCAGAGCTAGTTTGACTATGCTTCGGATATCGTAAATTGTCATTGTTTTGCCTGGGTTATTTCTCATCCAGGCATCGCAAATTGAATTTACAGCCCTCTTAAAAGGACCGTAGACAGATCGATCTAGCGGTTGCAATTTGTGGAAACAATGTGGGGGGAAAGACAAGATGACAATGCCATTTTCTTTACAGAAGTCCAAGCATCGTATACATATGTGTGATTGATGATTATCAAATAAAAACAATACTTTATTTTCAATTGAAGCATTGGTGTGCTTCTGAAAATGGTTGAGGTATATCAAGAACTCATCTTTTTGCATCCAGCCGCTCGCGTTTCCTGCTCCAATACACCCCACTGGACTGTCACGGACGAAGTGACGTGTATCTCAACCGTGGGAATATAAAAATGGGAGGTACACTGTTACCGATAGCATTTACAGCTAAAGCTATGGTTACCAGCGTTCCTCTTTCTCCTGATTTCAGTGCGCCTACCTGTTTGGTTCCCTTTTCAGCTACTACTTTAACAGGTCTTCCGGTTCAAATTTGTACCTGTCCATAACATTAGCTAGGTTGTCATGAAAAAGTTTTACTTTCGTAACGTTGAAACTAGTTGCTCTGGAAAGACTTGTTGCTTGAGCGCAGCGGATTGAAAGTTTTGGATTGCGTTTCATAAATCCAGAAAACCAATCCTCTCCTGCCATGGCATTTTGTCTCCATGTATCAGGCATGTTCAGCGAATATTTCACGGCCAACTGAAAAGCTAATTTCCGAATTTCTTTGGGTGGTAATCCGTAGAATATATGCGCTGCTTTGATTATATAACCAACAATAATTTTTTCCTGGTTCACGTCAAATACTCGCATCAAATCTACTCAAAGAGACGTAATGCAGTTCATATTCAGCTGCTGCAGACCTTATCGAAGCATTATTTTCAGTAACCTTTTTGTGAGCTTCATCATATGCCAAAATGGATTTTAATCCTCTCTCAGTTTTTCTCACTCTTACTCGTGGCATCCTAAAACAAAAGGTAACACCTTAACATACCCTCACACAACGTACAATATGAACCACATGAAAAATTCACGACGGGGACAATTGAAACATGTTTCAATCGTCCCCCGTGTCATGTGTTTCAACTGTCCCTGCAGCACATTTTTGAGTGAACACTCAAATAAGTAATAATTTAAAGTATCCCGACTAAAGGGCATATACCAAACAAAGTAATAAATATAGTCGAAGCTGGATACTTACGTTTTTATCTCTTGTAACACACTTTTTCAATCAATGTAAAAGATTACTTTGATAGCGGGAAATCAAGTTATCGTGGACGTGCACATACACTCACAACTGCCGTCAGTGGCCGATAGATGGCTACGTGCTTCATCTAATGGCGCTTCGTTTGGTATAAGCACGCGTGATTTAAACCGCGAAATCGGTCTACTATGGCGGTTGTTTCTATTGTCCCCTGTTTCAATTGTCCCCGATCTACCCTACTTATTTTTAGCGGTTCCTGGATATGATTCCTCATTGCTTTGTGGTTTTTTTATCAAGACCTATTGATGCCATTATGTGTGGAACGAAGATTCGTTCAACTGTCAGCCACGGCTCCTATGGATTGTGCGCATCTGAAACGTCCAAATTTTCATCACTCTTGACACATAAATCAGGCTGAATTGGAACGATGGCATGAGTTATGTTGGTTTTGAGGACCGTTGTGATTTGTGGCTTATTCAATACGCCTGCTACTTGGGAAAACCCTACAAGAAAAAATTCTAATGGGGTCAAATCGTACGATCTCGATGGCCAGTTTACATTATTTCTACATGAGATGACTGTGCTCTCAAATCGCTGATGCAGAATATCCAATATGGCATGAGTTGTGTGGCTCTTAGCACTGTCCTATTGAAAACACATGTCATCAACACATCATCTAATTTAGGCGAGAATGAGTTTGTAACAATCGACCTATGGTGCTCGCCATGGCTTGGCCAACGTTGTCCTCAAAGAAATATGGACCAATGACGCCATCAGCCAAAAACACACCAAACAGTGACTTTTCTGAAGCGTTGGAAGCTCTTGGATCTAATGTGGATTGAAATCGTCCCAAATTCGACAATTTCGTTTGTTCACGTACATCACATATATCCTGAAGTAGGCCTCATCTCTGAAGATGATTTTTCGATGAAAATGAGGGTCAGTTGCCAGCTAGCAGCTGGCAGAGCCCATTTGCCGAACACACGTCGTAATCTGTGGTCGTTTACCTTCAGTTCCTGGGTCTGTTGGATTTGTACGGGTGCAGGCCCGAGTCATGATGCAAAATTTGCCAAGTTGGGGTCTGCGAGCTCTTGTGAGCGATGCGTCTTCAATAATAATAATGAAATCAAAACAAAAGGAACTTGAAGGTCACCCTGTCAATGAATTATAACGTAGTTCAAGGTCATCCAGCGTGGAAATCGCTCAAATCTACCTCAAAATAGTCGCCTGACGTGGCTCAAATTCATTCAACGTCAAAGTTGCATGTCTTCACCTTGGTGAAGACATGCAATTTTCAAGGTTAATCAGAAATTAAAATGGAACATCCTCTCAAAGTCACCACACCTGAGTCTTTCGACATAGATCGAGATTGTTTTTAGGTTGACCGGCTCTGGAATCAAAATAGTACCGAAGTAGCCATCCTTATAGGAGATAAACCCAGTGAATCCTCAGCCTCAAATCGATTTTTTTGACCTCTTCTGTATATGTTCCGTTGATATCTTGTACGAGTAACAGGTTGTAATATTGGAGAAAGCGTAAAAGGAAACGAACATCTTTTTCTCAGCGGTTCCTGAATGTAATTCAGCATTGCTTCGTAGTTCAACAAAAAAGGTTGAGTGAAGCAGTTATAGTTACCAAACTGAACTCTGTCTTCAATAATTATAATGAATTCAAATCAATAACAAACTCAGAAGTCACCTTGTCAATGTCAATGTTGAAGGTCGCTCGAGGTCGTCTCTAAAAAAACTCAAAAAGTCAGCTCGAAATATTCCCGTGACGTAGCTCAAGTTCATTCAGGGTCACTTTTGAAAGTCACCCACGAAGTAACCTTGATCAGCGCAAAACACGAAACATCATCTCAAAGTCACCCCTTCTGAGTGACGTAGGTCAAGGTCGATAATAGGTGGATTAGGGGTAGAGGCTCCGAAATAGCTAAAGCTGAAATAGATGTCTTGATAGGAGATGAAAACTCCAATTTATTAGTGAATCGTGCTTTCTGTCCCTCAAACTGAATCATCAGCCTCAAATCGTTCTCTTGACCTATTTCATGTATGTTACATTTATATTTCGCAAGAGTAATAGGTTGTTATATTGGCGCAAACTTTAAGAGTAAACGAACATCTTAGTTCCTGAATGTAATTTAGCATTGCTTTGTAGTTTAACGGAAAAGGTTGAGTAAAAGAGATATAGTTACCAAACTGAACTCCGTTTTCAATAATAATAATGAATTCATATCAAAAACTAACTCAGAAGTCACCTGATCAATGTCAATGTTGAAAGTCACTCAAGGTCGAGTCTGAAAAAACTCTAAAAGTCAGCTCGAAATATTCCCGTGACGTAGTTCAAGTTCATTGAAGGTCGTTTATAAATTGAATGGGGGTAGAGGCTCCGAAATAGCTGAAGCTAAAATAGCTGTCTACATAGAAGATGAAAACCCCAGCTTATTAGTAAATCATGCTCTGTGTCTCTCAAACTGAATCCCCAACTTCGAATCGATCTTCTTGACCTCTTTCATGTGTGTTCCGTTTATATCCCGCACTAGTAACAGGTTGTAATATTGGCGGAAGCTGCAACGCAAACGAACATCTTTTCCTAAACGGTTCCTGAATATAATTCCGGATTGCTTTGTGCCTAACGGAAGAGGTTTAGTAAAGCAGATATAGTTACTAAACTGAACATCGCCTTCAATAATAATTAGGGCGATCCAGAATTAACGAGAAGCGAGGTATGGAACGAGACGATGTGGGATTCAGTTTTCTCGATAGAAGCATCAGTTTATGTTAGTCAGTCTGACTTCGAGTGATGGAATGGAGATTTTTGTGAGCCAATGACAATGCGAAGGGGGCTATTTTTGGACCACTATTGAGAAAAAACTCCTCTATGAACATATGTCTTGAAAATCCTGACTTTTGAACTACAAGGTACCAAAATTCATTTTCTCAATGATAACTTCAGTATAACCTAAGATATTTTCATTGAAGATTTGTATTTAATTATTTTAAAGAGATGAGCGATGAGCTTTCGTTTCATACTAAGTGAATCTAGTAACTTGGTTTTCTCTGATTGATATACGGGTTTTACATGAGAATTTCCATGCATGGAAATGGAAAAAAGATGAAAAAACATATCTTCCAATATACAATAATAAGGAAAACGTCAGCTTAAAAAAAGAAAAACACTAATGTGGAGAGGAATAAAATCATCGATAAAATTCATCCAAGGAGTAGCAATTTTTTTCAATTGAAAAAGTTTAAAGTGAGTCGATATGTGGTGTCCAGGTGAGTCTGTAATCAACTGTGATGCCTAATAATTTAGTTTCTTTAGAGGATTCTACATGAAAATCATCATCCTCATATATACTGAAAATCTCGACCACGAGACCATCAAGGGGGGTAGGCCGTTCCTAACTTTCTAGCAAAACAACCAATTTGTTCATTCAATCACTAAAATTTGGTTGATTTTGAATATTCACTTGAAAAGGTATCGAAGAAAAACATTTTTCATTTCATTTTATTCCTGTCACTCTGTTCGTGAAAGTAATTTCGCATCGGCATTATGCTGAGTAGAAGGAGTTTGGCAAAGGGATATAGATATCAAAGGGAACGCAGTTTACAATATAATACCAAGGTGAAAGCAAGTAAGGGCGATACAGAATTAATGAGAGTCGGATCGATGGCGTGAGATGAATTCCACTTTTCACGAAGAAGGCGAGAGAGCTTGTCACTGTGAAGCTTTCCAATAACACGTCAATCTCGCTTCAAACGGAAATATAAACCCAGCCGAGCCAAAACTGTCTATAATGTAATGCGCCCTTTGTAGTAATAGCCAGGGAAGTAGTTGTTTTCTGATAGGTGTCAGTCCATTAACCTACAGTTTGGTACTTTGAGACTGGCCTGAACGAATTGTTTAAACTATGTTTTTCCGTTAACCAGCTGTCGCACCCCTACGAACGACAACCCTCAGAAGTTGAAACTCGTGCGAGCTAAGGACAAACAAGGTCTCACCTTTTGAGGTGTGATCCCCAATACGAGTTCGACCATAGCAAGTGAAAATTGATCGTTCAGCCTGCGGTTCGAACCACCGACTCACACAGCGGTCGATTGAGAAAGTAAACAAAGCATCCACGTCGAACCGACCCACCTAGATAATTCAATTTACGGCCAGTCTCCAAGTATGCCCACTCATTTCACGTGAAGTTTTTTTCCTTATACGAGGAATTGGGCAAATTCTGATATGCGGCTGATTACCTCGTTCACGGGCAGAGAGGGCGATGACAAACACGGTGTTTGTCGTTAGCTTCAGCCAAGTTCGAAGAATGATATCTGGAAGAAATTCCATTTACGATTATGGGAAATAATCGACTTCACGCTGATGACAGATTTTACCTTACACTGAGGAGTGGCCAAACAGCCCGAAATCGGTGTGCAAGTGTGTTCCAATAATTGAAAATTGATTCCGGCAGTTTTATCGCCAA